GGGGGGGGGGGGGAAGTGGGAAAGGAAGGCCACTACCTACAGGTCAAGACTGTCCCAGACACCTATTTGAAGCTATTTCTCATGTCGTAGGCACCTATTTGAGGCTATTTCTCATGCCCTATGGGGAAAGGGGCACGAGCCGAGGAGGAGTGCATGGGAAAAGTGTTGCGGGGCGCGAAGCAACGGGGGGCGGATGCGCAAATCGGCACGGGAAAGTGGTGAGGGGTGCAAAGCGACACGGGGCGGGGGACGGAAGAAGAGGAAAACGAAGAGGGGGGCCCTCACGCCAAAACACAAGGGAGTGTGCAGGCATGGGCGGGGCGAAGGGCGTGGAAGAAAAGCAAGCTGCGGGGGAACAGTGAAGCGAAGACAACAGAGCGTGGGGGCAGGTAGGAGAGCGACCTTCGCGTGTACACGAGTGTGTGTGTGGCGCACGGCGCAGTGCAGCGAAGAGGGACGGGCAAACGTGAGGGCGTAGGGAGGGAGGAGAGTGAGGGAGAACGAGGGAGATCGAGCGGCAGCCAGGGAGAACGGGCATCCGCAGGCAGCGAGGGGGACGATAGTGATCGACTTGAGGGGGCAGGGAGGGAGAACGAGTGAGATCGACAAGGGGGACACGAGTGTGCATGGAGGGAGAAGAGCCAGGGAGAACAACGGAGATTGGTGCGCACAGGGTGAGGGCGAGCGCAGTGAGAACCTCGGAGTGACTTCGGGGTGATCGGTAGACAGGAGAACGAGGGAGAATGAGGGAGATCGGGGCGTAGGGGGCGAGGTTGATGACAATGAGAACGACGAACGGCGGCCAACTGACCCGTGATTGCGAGGGGTCCATGTCCGCGTGATTGGCAGGGAGGAGTGTGAGGGAGAACGAGTGAGAGCCAGCACGGTCCCTTCGTCACACCGTCCTTGCCGCAGGGTCCCCTTTTCAGCAAAAGTTTAAAGCCTAGCTTGACCGAAAATTTGGCTATGGCAATGAGGGTCTTTTTCGTGCTCCATGCTTCAGGATGCCATGGCCATTCTATGGGATCGAATTCAAGAGTCTGAACAGCACATACTAAATGGTCACAATCTCCTTCAAAATCAGAGCAACACCTGCGAATAAAAAAAATTGTGGTGGAGGGATCACCAATCCAACATAACAACTGTAAGAAGGGTGAAGAAGACGGCAAGGGCGCTGCTCCTGATAAACATGGCAGTTGTAAAGGCAGTGGTGGCTTAAGATGGGTTTGAGCTTATCCTCTGAGTGCTGGACTTGCAGGTCGGGTCTGGGATACTCAGATTTATGTGAAACGTGGCAGTGGAAAAGGCAGAATTGGTTTAAGATGGGTTTGACCTTATCCTCTGAGACATGGTGCTGGACTTTTAGGTCAGGTCTGGGACACTCAGATCTGAGTGGAAACCTGTTTGGGACAACACTGCGAGAGGAAAAGAAACAGGAGGTTTGAAATCAAAGTTGAGGATT